CAGAGGTTTGAGATACTTGCCAAATGTATGCTTGCACAGCTCTTAATACTGACTACATGCCACAAGTCTGACCCCACAAGCTACAATAAACTCAAGAACGACAGTTCCTTTCTCCAGTTTTGCTACTGTCCTGAATATTGCAGTAGATCCTTTGTGACCCTTCACAGAAACACGTTCCAATCATCCCATCAAGGTGACAGCTCTTCTAGACAACTGGGAGACTCCAGAGGCTCCAGTGCACAGTGTTTATCCCATTCAAGGTCGCGGCGCACATTCCTGCAAGTCACAACTGATGTGTCACTGGAATCCTGTCTGAAGTCTTACTAATGTCTTAAGTTCTACAGAAACCACGCAATCTCTTCAGTGAAATTCCTAAGCAGTTGCAACTGTGGGTTGTCAGCTTTTACAGAGAAAGGCAAGCGACACAACAGCTCTAACAGACGGGAACTGGGATTTTTTCCTTATCCGAAGCCTACCAGCTTAAAACCTAAAACAAGCTTAATTTCATTTTCCTTAAATTCTCTCATACAAAGTTGGGATAAGTCCCATCATTTTTTTTTCCGCAAAACAACTGATGATGTCAGGCAGACTCTTACCATCTTATGTTCCTATTACTTCAGAATTCTCTCTCTCTGGCCTAGAAAGCAAACAAACAAAAAAAACTCCACACAAACTTATCTTGGTCACACTTCCGCAGAACACTTCTCCAAAAGATATTTAAGATGCAAGTTCAACCATGCCGCTGAAAGCAGAGGAAGCACGTGTATTTCTCTGAAGGACTTCCACTTGGACATTTATCTCCCTGCATCACAGGGGATGAGCGCTTCCTTTCTCTACAGAATCACAAACAATCCAGTGACTTTTCTGGGAGGTTGTTCAGAGAAGGAAACTTTGTCTCCTCCCAAGCTGATTACGCAGGAAAACAATCTTATTTCTGACACTTGCATGCACGTTGCTCCCCCTCCAGCAAACCAACCCAGCTACTTGTTTTTGCTTTCATAATCGTTCTCTTCTAATTCTGCTGTGCTGTCAGCCGAAACAAGATGCTGACTTCAACTGCCAATTAATCAGCATAAGTAGGCTCCACCACTTACTGGTTAAGTTTTCAGTGAAGCAACTCCAAGCCTCTTCCTGCATTAGGATAACAGTTCTGTGAAACGCTCTGCTTTACCATGACACATACAAAGAAACTTCACTTCAGCTACACAAACTACTTACACTGGTCACCATGGTCTTGTTTCTTTGTACTCCGTCAATTTCCTCATCGTATTTCTAGTTGGAGCCAAGCAAAACAGATGTATTTGCTTGATCCTACACACAAACAGTACTACTAATAAACACAAATGTAGAAACATCTTCAGTATCGAGGCAGTTGCTAGTCAGAAATGTAAGCAGCTCCCCTCCACCATTTCCTGCATTTCTCGCAGCTCTAAACAAATAACAGAAGCCTGCTGTTGCTTTAAAATATAAGCAAAGATAAATATGAAGGTTGGCTCTTCATTACAGACTTAATCACAGTCAGTTTTTATAAAGTCAGTTTAAGAAGTGTCATTGTGTTCCTCAGTATAACAAAACAAAGCCTCTCTTGTATCTGACAAGCTCTCTCAAGAGTGGCTTCCCAGTTCTACAGTTAGATATGTGATTGGTAGTAGAGATTGTAGGATCAATAAATATTGAAAACAGAGCAACTACATTAAGAGTTGTCATACAACAAATTCCTAACATCCTCAATAATATAAGTTTGTTTCAAATTTCACAGACATAAAGTTCAACTTCAGGACCAATAACCTCAACACTCAGAATCCCTATAAGCACCTATTTCCAGTTCTAAAACAGAGAATTCACTATGTCTACTAAATACACCTTCAATTTAGTAATTTATGTAGATGCAAGCAGAGTGCAAAACTGAATTAAGAAGCCACTCTTTCTCTGGTTAGCAGATACTGCAAATTAATGATTCAGACCTGTGCATATATTTCTAATTGCTTATTTTTCAACCAAAAATGAGTCGCTCCAAGCAGCCCAGGAGCTGACTTCCATCTTGCTATACAGCATATGAAGCAGGGTGAAACCTCTGCACCAGACACCTGGCAGGAAACAATCTGGCCTGAAGTCTGTCCACCACCAAAGAGGACCTCCCCAGACTGCTCCCAAGAGACAAAGCCTGGTTACATTTCTCAGGTCTAGCCTCCTTTTGTTGACAGTGCCCTACCAGTACCTGCTGAATCTTGCCAACCTGAGCTTCCAGTCAATGAATCCTCACGTGCATCTCATTCCTCTCTGCATCTGCATGCACCTGTCTGTTGCTTTACACAAGCACAGCTGCTGACACATACCAGATAGGAGACTACGAAGACGTGCATCTTCCCTTTACCGCTTGCCTGCCTCCTGTTCTTTTGTTGGTACTGGTGTGTGGTGGTGCGTGTAGGGGGGAAGTTGTTTGTTTGCTTTTAAATTCTGCAACAACATGAGACTACAAATTTTCGTGAAACTCTATGCTCAGTGCCCCACATCTGGCAAGCTGGAAACAACTCTGGGAATGCAAATGGTGCTTAGATTCGAGTAGAGAGCAGGAGACAGGAACGAGGGCCTCTCCCTGATTAAATATCCAACTTAAACCTCATTTGCCTCCCATAACCAGAAAAAGAACTTAGATTCAGTGCTGGAAAAAGTCGTCTTCTTCCGAGAATTACTGCTAAGTTCTGGTCACAATTCCCTCAAACAACAGCACATCTTCAAGCTAGAAAGTTAATTCATAGCTAAGACATTGTCATAGACAAGCTGGTATTCTTGAATTTGATCACTTAACTAGAGCAATTAAGTCTGTAAGCTCCAAATGAGCATGGCCAATACTGCCAAATCACTACATTCATCAAAAACCTCAAAGCTTAGGGATTAAAGTGAGAGGAGTCTGAGGAAGAGGAGTCTCACATGCTTCAGAGCATACCATGCTAATCTGTTACTGTTACTTAAAACTTTAAAGATGCATTGGTTTAAGACAGCTCATTGTACTTTGATTAGAGTGGGCTAGCAACACACATAAAGCATTCTCAGATGAGGCAAGATACTTCTGTACTGGCCTAAATAACTGCTTGTAACTGAATTTCAGTATGAGCTATCTGATACCTCTTATTGCTCAACTGTAATCAGATTCACATATTCAGACAGTGACTGAACTTGTTTGTGCAAACAGGACACCTAAAAGAAAGGCCAATGATATTCTCTGGCCATCCTACTTGTAGTCTAACTCAAACTTGGTGAAATGCACATTTATAAAAAAACAGAAAAAATAACAGATGCCAACAAGATTGCTGCAGTGTATTACATAACTATAGATTCTTCTTCATACAAAATGATTGCTTTAAAAGCAAAATAGTTCAGACTTGCTAAAAGCCTTAAAATACTCCTCCAATAAAAGGATTGAGGAGGAAGTTAAAAAAGAGGAGGAGGAAAGGAGCAGAAGAATACTGCATGCGAGGAGAAAAAATGAGTAGAAACATTCTATATGGCTTAGAGAAGAGAACATGCAGGAAGAAGAAATGCACAGAACAATGCAGGAAATGATATGCTTATGGACAACTTGATCACATGGTTTGAGGCTTTAACAGCCAGACAGACTGGGACACAACACAGAAAGAAGAAACCAGGGTCCCTTCTAAGTCCACTATCTTCTCTCCAAATTTCAAATACAGGTAGCACTAGGTGCCTAGCCAAAGCTCACACACACATCAAAATAATCTTGTTTAACACTATACATCTTCACTGCGCAAAAAAGTGGCTGTAGTTTATATTAAACCCCCCTCTCTCCAGGTTAAAAAAACCTAAAAACTACTTTCACACTTCACCAATATCCTGCATTATTAAGCTATCATTTAAAAATAAATAAAAAAAAAAAATAAAAAAAAAAGTAAGTCTTCTGGTTTCTGTTGCTTTGTGGGAGGGAAGAAGGGAAAGTAGCAGGGGAGGGACAGGACATGCCTCCCAGTGTCTTTTGTGTTTTCACCTCTTTGCTGGCAATGAATTTCCATGTGCTGTCACAGGTCAGTGATAGCCAATTTCTGGCTGCTATGAAAAGCACTGGTTTCACATAGACGCTGGCTGTGCAATCATCTCAATTTCCACTTCTACTGGGACCACAGCTTCCCTTGTAAGTGGAAGGACTTGCAAAAAAGGGCTTAGAAACTGCTGACAGTCACGTATCACTGTTTGCTGGTCAGCGTATTGTTCAAAAGCACATACTGAGACTGTTCTGTAGGTATCGTGCTTGTGAAACCATCATGCCTATAAAAGCACAGTTAGATAGTCCCAAAAAGTCAACTCTTTTCCTGCAAGCGCAGGAATCACTGCAACACTGCCAAAAGTGATAAACAGCAATTCTGGAGCAGTTTACGGGTAACACTAACACAGCAACGCTTGCAGGCTCCTATTAACTGCAGCAGTGTCCACTCCAATGTCAGTTCTCTACACGGCACCTGATAGACTCAGGCTCCCGTCATAAAGCACTCATCACAGTGAGCTGGGAGGGAAAAGACAACAAAAGCCAACAAGCATTTTGCACAGCCCTCCTTAACTGCAAGAGGTTGCTTCTAGCTATCAAGCATTCACAGTTGCTAGCAACTTTGACTATATGAAAAACATTAACTTCCCCAAACTTGTCCTTTTAAACCAATAAGTAATTTTGCATATTACAAGAAACAGAGCTTCCTGACCTCCCCTATCTGTTGAAAAATGGTAGAATATTATTTATTTAAGAGAGCTGTTTTTAGGCAAATACTTGAGTTGCTTCAACTCTTATAGAACTCCTGAAAGTGTTGTACACTACTGCAACACAGCACACAATAGAGCACGTATTAACAGTGTAGAAAATATCCAACACATCAAACAACCAAGTTCTGCAAAGCACAAATACAGCTGTCTTTTCAGGTCCTAAATTAAGTTTTGCATGAAGAAGAACACAGGAAATACTGAGGTTCTAAGAACGCTGAAAGAAACTGACTTACCACAGTCCTTTGCTTGTTGGGCAGGAAGACTCTAACAATAGGCTTCTGTGGAGACTTAGGGTTATTCCGCGACATATCAGTAGGATTTTGATAAACTGAAAGGGATGAAGGTGCTACAGAGAGGCTAGAGGAGGAAGATGATGCAACTGTGTCCGTTGAAGCTGAACTGGAGACAGAGAAATCAGTTCCATTTCCCATGGATTCCAATAACTGCTGTTCTCTCTGCTGTAGAGCATCTAGTTTGCTGGTGTACTCTTCATAGGCCTGTGAAGGAAGAAGGGCTATTTTAATGATGCAGTAGCGTCAGGTAAAAACAGAAGTGTAAACTGAGAACAAGCAAAACAAAAAACATTCTGAACTAACTCATATTTCCTATAAATATGAACAAAATTGTCTGGTCAAGAACAGGAAGCAAACAATTAATGGCTTTCAATTCATGTTAAAACTTTCTGAACTAATTTTAATCCATGAAACAGGTAAGTGGATAAAAGAAATCACAGATCATAGTTTTAAAGCACCTGCACTGTACAGTCTAATTTAGAACTGCTTTAAAGAACAGCAATCTTTAACAAGTGCTGTCAGCTAAAGCTAAATGCACCGTTCTGTTGGAATGTAATACATTTAACACAATAATTAAGAGAAGCAAAAGCCTGCTTTTTGCCATCAGTATCTGACAACTTACCTCACTCAGTGCTGACCATTCACCACTGGCACTACATTATTTTTCCTTTTTTTTTTTTTTTTTTTTTTGACCAGAGTATAAAAACATGTTTCAATTAGAAAACAACTAAACTTGCCCCACGACAAAGTTGCACAAAAACACGCCAAAGTGATCCTTGCTTTTTCTTAACTATATTCAATTAGTTTGTCTTTTCACAAGTAAAGGCTATGCAAGTCCATATCAATTTTAAAAGTTCAGCATCATTTGTCCATGAAGTTTTAAACAAATATGCCATGAACACAGATCTGTAAGAGTAGATATTTTCATTTAAAGATGGCTTCCATCAACTTTCTTTGCAACAAGACCATTTCCATCTGTATCCAGAACCATTAGCAGGGCAGCTCCAAAGGTAACGCCTCCGAGTTTATGACCTTCGCCAACAGCATCAGAAGCACAGGTTGGTGGGATGGCAGGAGAGGCTGAACCTTCCCATCAGCTGCCATTACACGTTGTTGCTGTGTGACAGATGGCAGATGAAGGGCAAACTGTCACAACAGCATCTGACATAAAAGAATCCATGAAGCAAAGGTGCGCCAATGAATTTCTCCGTGCAGAAAAAACGGCGCCCACTGACATTCATCAACACTTGCTGAACATTTCTGGAGACCAAACAGGGGATACGAGCACAGTGAGGCAGTGCAAGTGCGTTTCAGTACTGACAGTGACAGCGGGTCACCTCCACTGGTGCAGAATTATTTTTATAAGCATGCAGCTCTTGCTCATCATGGACAAAAATGCATTGCTAAAGGTGGTGATCACGCTGAAAAATAGCGTTTTGTAGCTGCAAATTTGCTCTATCAAACAGTGTTATTGTGCTCTTTGTATCTGTTGTAGTTTCCATGAGAACATACAGGAGGAACTACCATCAGTGACCTACATATCTTCAAAATTCTGAATCTGAAAACATGTATCGGTTAGGAAACTTTTGTTTCATGCTGTATATACATTTTGGTGCTAATCAAGGATGTTATATAGACAATAAGAAACAAAGATGCCACAAATGTAGTATCTAAAGAGTAATGAAAGGAACTTCCTACTTAGACCTCCAACAAGACTGAGATTTGTCAGGCCACACGTATCTAATGTGAAAAGCGGTATTTACATCAGGGAAAGGTACATTTCTACTTAGTTGCTTTCCTCCAGTTCTCTGTGCAGAACTTGTTTCTAATTAAAGTTATAGAATTAAACTGACCAAAACATCTGCAGGAAAAAATATATTATTTTTAAGAGGAAAAAATAACTATGCTTCTAGTTTCAGCGATGCTGCCACAAATACTGCATTTACTATAGATTTATTTCTCCAGGGGTGTACGTGCAGCTTTAACCAAACTCAGGTAGTTTATAGTAAACAAACAGTGATTGGCCTCTCTCTTTTGAAGAAGGTTTAATATCCCTCAGGATAGACTCACTCACAAAATTTGCATTATCATACCAATTGCATTAACAAAGAGAACAGTAATTTGACAGTGGGGACTAAGAAAGAAAAAGCTGCTTAAAGGGTAATGGTGAAGACCACAATTCTGAACCCTAAATGTTGCAGGAAAACTGAGAATCGCTTGCAATTCCTTTTAAGAACTGAAAGTGTCTAGGGTTTCATGAATAGACCACAAACTCTGTGACGTAAAGCCAAAACATTTTCATCCTACCGTGAAAAGTAAATTTGAAAGTCACACGATTATAAATAATGGCATTTTTTGGCAGTATAGTAACATAAGCACCTCACTCTTACTTCCAGGAACAGCTTTTCATGTAAATTCCAGTAAGAGTTCCATGTGTCAAGAACTGTTTTCAGTAAACAAAAATTAAGAGTCACAAACTACTGTCATTTCACCGATACTTTTCTAAATACTTACTTCCTTTTCTCATGAACATTGCAAAAGATTGTTTGTACTAACACATGCAACGTTACACCACTTCCGGACACTTGTGGGCTCCGTTCCTTCACAGAGTTCCACGCATCTTTCAAAATGCCCAATCCTACAATGTTGGTACCGGCAGCTCCATCTGTCACTAATGCAATTCAAAAGTCAAATGATTTTTCTTAAATGCATAAACAATGAGCATAGAAAACTGGGAACTGTTGCTGGGTTTGGATTCTATACCATTGGACTTTGCATGAAAAGCTTTTTTTTTTTTTTTTCTGTTCTTTAAATGGGGGTGAATTCTCCAAAATATTGTGTTGTAACCCAATGTCACAGCAGATCTAGCAACAGAACACCAAGAAAGCAGAAATCTACTATTATCCTTCAAATATGTTTTTCTTTTCTTTAAAAAACAACTATTTTTACATAGAAGCTGCAATGGTTCATGTAGCAGAAACAGAATAGCTCCAATGAATCTCATTTTTAAAAATTAAGCACTTTGGTGAGACATCAGTACCAGCTGATGACAGAGAGAGCAGCACCAAGTCAAAACAGAATTGTCTGACTGACTTAAATTTAAGGAGTGTAAAAAAAGCAAAAATGATCTATGGCAAAGTATTTGAAAGCAGTTTGTGCCACACAGTTGGCCTACTGACATTACAGGCCATATTAGCTGACGTACATCAAGTCTTCAAGTCAGGTAAGGTCCTACAGATTGACCTTGATGCTGATTTCTAACATCACTAGTTTCTGAAGCACAAATCTATTTAGTTAGTTTGTACTTTATCTACTATAGAAAAAAAGATTATGCAGAACATTCTCATAACTAATGGAATGAAGTATTTTACTGGCACTTCAGAAGTAAAGGTGCTATTCAGGCATTCCATTCAAGGCACAAAATTCTGAGTTCATCTTTGCTGTTGTGCTTGTTGCTGCCGTTGGGATTCTGTTGGTTCACTCCAAAAAAACAAAGTGTCTTTAATCATGTATATTATTCACAACAAACACGTTTGTGCACTGTATCATTAGAAGGCTCCCAATTTTGTGTCAATTTGCAGTATTTCTGTAAGTTACAGAAAAGATATATGCTAAAAGCTGAATACTAGATTTAAACTGGTGCACCATTTAAATTTACAAGCAACTCTATAGTTATCTAAGCTAGAAGGAAAAGTTGATTTTAATTACATTGCGTATCAGTATGTATGCAAGTCATGAGAGAATATTCCTGAAACTTTAAATAAAACGTACACAGGCCTGGTAATCTGCCAAGTTCATCTGAAGCATAAGAAATTCCTACATGCAATCTACATACGTGCCACAGGATGACAACTGCTTGCTCACAAGCAGCAGAGCTGAAAAAAAAATAAAGTTACTACTTAAATGTTGCAACATATTGATAGAATTAGAACTGACTTCAGAAGCCAACAGAAGTTATGATACACAGCTGTGCTAAGATTACACAGACAAGGGATTTCCTCAAAAACATGAGTATTTTTACATTACTTATTATTCATGTTATATTTGAAATTTGCTTCCACAGGCTGCAACCAGGCTATACATTCCATTTAAAACATTTAAGAAAAGTAAAAATAACAAGTCAGGTATTTAAAAAAATGTACCTAGGACAAAGCCAGGTAGCAAAACATGGTTTCTCCTTCTTCCTTCTCACATAATTAGAAATTTAGTCTAAGCTCCAGCACACCAAGTGGTTTTATCGTTTTCTCTCCCTTCCCCAATCATTTTTTAGGTAGTGTCCATACATTCTAAGGATTTTAGAAGCCTAAATGACAGCTTCCAGGCTGTCAGATTGTATTTCTATTGAAAAGATGTCCAACCTTTTAGATTGTTGATCAAATGCAAATCTCACTGAAGTTAAATAATAGCTGAAGATAGACAGCAACGTAGATCAGGATTTCTGCATTTAGTAAGATGCCTAAATCTGTTCTTAGACTAACTTTAGACACTCCAGTTTGAGTCCAATGTATTTGATCAACTTGTGCTAGGAGCCTGGTGAAAGTTCATGTGAATCTCTCCATGGAGCCACTAAGTTTCCTAGTGTAAATATTTTCTTTGAATACCACCAGCAGTTTGAAATAACCAGAGTCATCATTACAATCCATTTCAGACTGTATCTGCCTGCTGATGCATAAAACGCACTCTAGATCAGCAATCTTCTTTAATAAATTTATAGTAATACAGCAACAAGGAATGAAATACACTCTCAAAATTCAACAGCCAAACTCTCAAAAATGGCAGCAGCAAGGCCTCTGGATCAAACTTTCCCTGGAGAATTAGACATAAACTAGAAAAACCACACCAGTTAGGGATAGGCATCTCTCTAGTACCATCATTCTCATTTTCACTTGCTTCCAATAGCTAGGCTAGGAAAGAAGAAAATTTCTGTAACAATAAAAGGCTGACAGAGCTTTGAAACCTATTTGATACCGATATCATTCCACCTATGTATTTGTACATTGCTTTATTTTGCCTGACCTTTTGGCATTCAGGTGCTGCGCAGCTTGCTCTTGCACTGACAGCTGAAGGAAAGTACAGGCACAATATGCAACCTCATTTTGTGAGCAGCTGTTTCCATTTTAATGGGTCAGTACAGCTAAATTAAGTTCTCAGAGAAATTTGTCACAGGTGATGTTAAAATATAATAAGATAAGAAAGATATGACA